TGGATAAGTAAGAAACAAGCTTTAACAAAAAAGAAAAAAAAAAAAAATCTAAGGAGAGTAATAGGAGGGAACCGGGCCTAGACCCGTGTCATCCCAAAATCTATTCGGTTCGGATCGATTTGCATCCAGATCAACAATTTGGATACGAAAATCACTTGAGTTTTTTAAAAACACTGATCCCAAATATTAACCTGCACTGGACTATCACTTTTCATAGGAAATAAGACTGAGGGTATATTTGTCACATCAGAAAGAACAAGGAATTAACACTGTTCAAAATGAGCATTGGGCATAAAATCTTAAAATAAAAAGCACATGAATGCCATTGTAATATTGACAGGTAATAGGGATAATTTCCGTCATTCTTACCCAAAAAGGAGGGTAGAAGCAAAAGTTTGGGGGAAATGAAATGAGCGTGTTTGGGAAAATGTGCGCTTGACAGAAGTGCGTCTGACCGCTCTCTTTTCTCTCAACGCTATAATCGCATATTCTCGGAAAATGAGCCTCAAAATGACTATAATGCCCCTACGTTTTTTCAGAAAAAATTACCACCTTTCTCCATGTAATTCGTTTCAACATTTCGGCTAATATGACGCCCCAAACCAACTTGCTAACCAACATGTATAGTATGCCCGCGTACTGTATAACAACTCCCTCCCCCAAAATAGCTACATGGAAAATTTTCCTTATTCTAATTTTTGGGATCCATCAAATTATCACTAGATTATTATTTCTAAAAAAAAAAAAAAAATATTTTGAGTTGTTGAATATCCATCCATACCCTCCAAAATTGGTGGGTTCTTGTGCTATCTTGGGGATGCCTTTTTATTTTTAAAGGCGAGTTTTATTTATTTATTTTTATTTTTTCTTCTATGAGCTTGGTTCTTGAATTCTAGAGGTGACATCCCTAAAGTTTGGGATAAAAGAATTATTACTAACATAAGTTTTGCCCGAGGAAAAACATGGATAGTATACTCTTGTGGGAGTACAAAATCCTTAGACTTTATATTTTTAGAAAAGCAGGTTTTGGTCGGAACGATTTTGTAAGGCATAAATTTTAAAAAATGGAAAATTTTTTGGTTCCTCTAAGCAGGCTTGGAGATCCACACCATCCATTAAAACCGGGTCCCATAAACAATAGTCTTCTAAAGCAAAAGTAAAATCAACGTTCAAATATTTTCTCCAAACAATATCATTTTGAGTTTTTTAAATTTATTTAGTTTTACAGATTAATAATCTCCATATTAACGATTATATATTTTCTAAAATTAAGATCAAATTCTATTTCAAAAATAAAGTATTAAGGGGTCTACATTTCTACAAGTGAGTGTGCATGGACTCATAGAAACCGTATCCTTAAAAAAATTAAAGTAAGGTGTACTTCCTAATCTTGCAAGTAGGACAGCTTTGATGTCAGAGACTAAAAATCTATTTATACCTAATTATTATTAAAGTTATAAAAATAATGTATATTAAGCAAATTTATAAACACTTATAAATTTTAAAAAATATTAGGTGTGATAGTTTGTTACAAGAACTAGTATTTTAAAGTTGAGATGGTTACTAGTAGGATTCCTCATTACCAAAATAACCTTTCCAGGGTTTTCTTACTTTCATAGTCTGACATTGTACATTACATTTTCTCTTGAGCTTTCACCACCCTATATTATGCTAATAATTTATGTTTTACTATGATTTTGTGATCATGATGATGGACAAGCTATGTTATCACCGTCCAATGAATTAACAGAAATTGAAGGAGAGTGCGGGAATATGAAGAACACGATTGGGCTGATGGAGAGACCGAAGTGAAAGGAAGAGACTAAACTTTCTGTGATCATGCGGATCACACTATATCAACCCAAAATTTGGAATTTAGCTATTGCTCAACAAGGGTTTGGAACTTTGAATCTGATTAAAAAATTACTTAACAAAATAAAAATAAAAATTTCAGAACATCAGGAGGCAAGCGATTCCAAGGATTTTCATCCCGAAATCCCAGCCTTCGTATCCAAGTTAGTGTTCGAAACCACTACTCGGGGCGACTACTTGGCCCGAGTACTCGAAACTCGGATTGAGTGGTCAAACACTTATCCAGGTCGACTCAAGTGATTCCCGAGTGGTACAAGAGATTTTTGTATCTTTAAATATTCATTTGTGGAGCTGATTTTCGATTACAAATGAAGGTTTTGGTGTCTCAAAGGTTGGCATGAAAGTGAATGTGACTAATCTTATGATGCAGATAGTTGTAAAGATGAGCGAAAGGGCGTTAGGAAGCTCTAGTGGTGGGCTGCCTTAAGTTGAATTATGATGGTAGTTTGTTCAATAATCCGGGACCAATTGGGGTAGGGGGTGTAGTGAGAAATTATTATGGTGAGATCATTCTTTGCTATGCAGGTCCATGTGGAGATAAAACAACAAGTGAAGCGAAAATGTTAAATGTATTACAAGGTCTAAAAATTTTAAGGGAAAAGGATATCCAACAACCTTGTATCACTATTTTTTGAATGTTATAAATTGGTGCAACCATATCTCAAGACCCATGTGGAAATTAAATTCCAATGGTTGATTGATAGGGAGATTGTGAACGTCGTGCGTGTTATTTTTAGATATGTTTATAGAGATGCCAATGATGTAGCCGATTCTTTGGCTAAAAGGGGTGCGTTCTTTGCGGTCTCTTCTTATGTATGATGTTCTTCTTATTTGAGTTCTTTGATATTCATTTTGTAGTAAAAAAAAAAAAAAAATCCCCGATATCATTCGAAATTTGGAAGTCCCACGAAACTAAACCGAAACATTGGAATATGAGGTGGATATTAAAAATGGAAGGCCAAAATAGAGTTTATGCTAGTGCTAAAACTATACAAGGAAAAGGGTTTTTAGGAAGTTGTAAGGGGTAGTGACGAAAATATAGAACAGGCTGTACAGTGGTGTCGTATTGTCACTCCCCGGTGTACTACATGGAATCTACGGACCACATCAGCTTGCAGACACAAGGAATGACATGCCTATGTAATTACCAAAATATCCTACCACTTTTCCGAATAACAAAATTGTCTCCACCGTTGCTCAAGGTCAAACAAGGGCTACGATCTGGCTACCACCCTATGGTTGTTATTCAGGAAAGGGTGAGAATCATGCAAAGACTCACCTCTAACTTTTGGTTCGGCTTGATGGCTTGAAAATATCTTTGTGTATCTAGTTATGAAATTAATTTTTTTTTACAATAGTAAATTTATAAGTTTTTAAAAATCTTGAAAATAAATTGCAAGTTATTTATTATTTTAAGACTTGTTTTTTTATTTATTTTTACATATTTCATAAATTTTGGATGTTGAGACGATCAATCGGAAGGTTTTCCCACATTAAAAGACTATCTTCTAGAATATTTGTGAGGTGCAGCTTACTTCAATAGTTTAAAGTTAACACCTTATACAAACTTTTCTTGTCAAGAAAAAAGAAGAAATTGAAAAGAAATTTATCAAACTACAACTTAGCTTTGATCTATTTAACATTGTGCTCATTATATTTTACCTGATTTCAAGTACCTCATCATTCTTTTAATTAATTTTTAAATATAGCTCATCAAATAACACATCAAAATGGGTATTGAAAGTTATCAAACTACACCTAAGATAAAGTTTAATTTTTAGGTGTATTTGATGGATTTCTCTACATTGCATGGATGAAACAAGCCATTGTCGATATGAAAAAAAATGACTATACTTTACGGTGTTGATATGAAAAAACTGCTATAAAAAACAAATTAATGTTCAAATCTAGAAAAAAAAAAAAAGATTTATTTGTTTGGGTTTTTGTTTTTGAAAAAAATTTGTTTTGGTTTTTTGGGACAAAAATTCTAAAGATTAGAGCCCTTGGCCTCACTTGGCCAATACATCTGAATGATCAAATTTCAAATTGGGTGGTTATGATTGACTATACTTAAAGTTTTTAAAAAATATTTCTCAAACTTGGTGTCACATTTCAAGTAATTCAATTTAATATCTAATGCCTAGTAGCAATTGTGAACTCATTGTAACAAAGGTAAATAGTCACATAGAGTACAGTCCTTCCCTAATATGCAATTTTTATTTTCCCTATGCATCCATGGCAAATCTTGCCTGCCAAGTCCTTCTAGCATAAAGAAAATCTTCAAAAAGCAGCCCTTTAAGCCTTAGAAAAAAAAGAAAAAAAAAACTCGGGGCTTATTTCCAAAAATAATGTTTTAGGCCTTTTGGCTATATAAGGGTGAGGTTTGCCAAAGTTGTCCACTTCAAACAATCGATCAACGTAAAGCACATCACTAAACCGAGCTATAAGATACAATTCTACTACATCACTAAACCGAGCTATAAGATACAATTTTACTGTTGAAAATCATTATGATAGCTTGAAAATATATTTTTATACTTAATTATGAAATTTAAAGGTTACACCTATAATTACGTAAAAATATTGAAAATGGACGGTTAAGATTATACGTTATAAGATGCACTACTTTTAAGTCTTAAAAATCTTTTTTTTTTTTAAAATATATCCATACATCTCTAGGTGGAGATGATCAAATGAAGGGTTCTCTAGTGTCGAATGACCTTTTTCATCGAATTTTTTAGATGCATCTTACTTCTATATTATAATGTTGATGCTTTATATACATTCTCGGGTAGATTAAAAGAAAATATATTAGGAACTAAAATAGGTATAGGTCGCGTTGCCTCGAGTCATTTATATAATTGAGTAATGATCTTATGAGACTCTTTCGAACTCATGTGTATAGGATCTTAAAGGATCACCATTAAGTTTGACATTCATTTATATAAAAATTATCACATAAGTATATGATTTGATTTTTTTAGAGATCTGTATCAAATTTAACAGTGATCATTTGAAATTCTACATACACGAGTACGAGAGGATCTCACAAAATCAATTCCTTATTCAGTTTAGGCTTACATAAAAAATTTTAAAATAAAAATTATAAAACCCCAAATTCTCCAATCTTCCACACCTAAAAGTCCGTCCACCATAAAGATCACGGAATTAGAGATTATGCTGCATAAAACCCCAAATTCCCCAATCTTCTACACCTAAAAGTCCACCGCGAAGACCAGCAGGAAGACCCAAAAGCCCAAATCGTGGCCCAGCTAATGACGTAGGCCTTGTAATAATGGTCCCTCTGGTCTACTTCCGAACACTTCACCTTGCATGATACTCACTTTTTCGCTTAACAACTGGAAACCATTTAGCATCTCTTCCGTAGCCTCAAATTTGTAGGACATCTTCAATCTTCATGACCATGCTGGCCTTATTGTGAATCCAGATCAAGCTTTTGTGTCTCCCCTCTTTCTAGTTGATGAGGCTGAAAAGGATTGATAATGCCAGGGTGAAGATCCAACGATGCCTTTTGAGAGAGAGAGAGAGTGTAACCTTAAGATATTTTGTATCGTTTGTTTATTTGGATGGTGTAGATTTGGATGGTGTAGATTTGAAACTCCATTCAAGATGAAGTGAATATATGACACGTTTTTTAACATAATGTCTAATCTATACTGTCTAAATAAAATGAAATATTGTATAAACTTTTTCTTATTTATATATAAAAAAAGGAAAAAATTTACATAAGGTTGCAACCTTAAAATGTAGAACTAAAGATCATAAAAGGTTGCTTGGATGTTGGAAAACCTTCAAATTGATCATCTTGATGTCGAGATGTATAACTATAGAAAAAAAAAAAAAAGGAAAAAATATTTTAAGTTTACGAAATAGTGCATCTTGGAACACAATATCTAGATCGTCAATTTTCAATATTTTCATGTGTTTATAAATTTACTTGATTTAAACCATTTTCAGAATTAAAATTTTATAATTAGAGATGAAAATAAATTTTCAAGCCATCCTAATAATTTCTTATATCTAAACTACATTTATAATAAAATTTAGAGATGCGCTTTAATTGGATTTTTTAAGGTTACAACCTTATGCAAATCACATCCATAACACAAATATATAATATATAATTTCTGTTTAGTCCTCGAGCTGAACTGAGCTGGCAGGTTGATCTAGGTCCAACAAGGACTACTGCAAGTCGGGGCCTTGGCCTAGTTCGGACGCGACCTGACCTGTTTACACCCTTAATAACTTTTAAGTCTCGCATTTGCTGTACTTTTGATTGTAGGGGAAGAAGCAAAAATAGCTTTAGTATGCAAAATTAAAATAAATAAACTTTTTGTAAAGCAAGATTATATACTAAAATATAATTTATCTTTTAGTATAAGGGGGTTTACGATTTATCTTTACTACAAAGTCTAGTTTTTCTTTTGAACTTTAAACTTGTTTAGTGAGACAATTTTACCGTACAATTTCAAATCCAACAGCAAAAATTGTACTTTCTTAGACTGAAGACATTTTTAGCATCTCTCTTTCTCTCTCTTAGTTATAGCGACGTACGCTCTATTGCTGCGAACCATGTTTTTCATGATTGCCACCAAAAAAAGAGGATGGCAGCATAGGAATTATTGGTGGCTAGGACAGTATTTCTATTGGGTGGCTAGGACAGTAGGACTGCCTTTCTTTTTTTTTCTTTTTCTTGCAATATAATAAGCATCGATGATACCATGTCAGTAGTGGCCCCCTTTGATATATTCCACATTTGAGTTATTAGGAATGTTGAGTTGGCAACAATGGTTCAAATATTTAGAAATAAAAAAGAGGTACGGTGGTGTATGGCGTTTGCGGATGACATAAATTTGATCACATAAATTTGATAGATGATATCCCAAATAATGTCAACATAAAATTAGAATTTTAGAAAGAATTTTTAGAATCTAAATACTTTAAAATTAGTCGGACTATGACAGAGTATATGGAATGTATGTTTAATAATAATATGAGTAGAGACGAAGATACCAATAATACCAAAACAAGCGTGCTTTCGATTTCTTAGGTCCATAATCCAAAAAAATAAAGAGATTGAGAAAGTTCAAGTGGAAAGCTCAAGAAGACCAATGGTAAGGCAAAAAAAAAAATAGTTGGAAAAAGCTATAAAGACTTATGACCTCATTAATGGTATGACCCTTGATAGAGTCGAATGACGGACTAAGATTCGTATAGCCGATCCCAAATAGTTGAGAAAGTACTCTGAGGATGATGATGATGATGAAAGACAATATAAGAAGTTCTTTTTGCAACATGTTGGAATTCGTTTTTCACCTTTGAGGTTGCGTTGGTAACAGGCCTAGCAGCCTTACCAAAAAATTTAGGACCTTGGCTACAAAATATGGCCCGAGAGTTTGGCTGGCTTGCCACCATGGCTTGGGCTAGGGCAATGGCTGGCCCAACCTAGTGTTTTCCATTTGTTTTTTTTCTTTTCATTTAAAAAAAATCTATTAGGCTTGGCCCGTCCCTATTTGACCAACTCAAGGGCTGACTCTCAAACCCCCGTTGTATCATATGTGAAATTTGACAGCTCGACATGTCACAAAGTTCAAAAAGTTCTCTCATACTTTTTAAGGTTAAAGCATATCCTCAGCCGCTAGATTTTTGCTAACCAACTGGCAATAATAATTGCGACCTCTTTGTATTAAAGACAATAATAATTGCGACATCTTTGTATTAAAGACAAATGATCTTCTAATATACTCCTCTTTTACATCAATGCTTTGAAGGGGTAAACAATTTGCCAAAATTTCCGTTCACAAGGAAATATAGGGGCCAATTTAATTATTTCGATACTTACAAATTTCTTGGGTATGAACTGCTCCATGTAAATGTGCAAATTTGCACCCTTGTTGGGTAGCATAGTAATTCTAACATAAGTAGGGTAGGACTGAATGATATTTCAAGACATTTGGCAATTTGTATTGATAAATCAACATTTGACTTAGGTCCCACGTTAGGAATTGTGTCCCCTTAGAAATAACAAGGGACGTGGGTTTCATGCGTATGGCACACAAGATAAATTTTGTTGCCCATTAAACTGACCAAAAGGGGTTGCCACTATGCACTTAACTATTTTTCAAGATATCTTGCTCCTTTAGAAAAGAATGAGGTTTTTAGAAAGCCTAGGTATTATGAAAGCAAAATAAACCTCACCTCAAATCCTTGTCTGGAAAGTATTTTTCGTGACGGAAATCTTTGTGATGGATCTAAAATCAATTTTCAACACCGACAATAAAATTTGAAACTAAAAATAATGGTACAAATATTGTTGATATGTGAACATTTTTTTAAGGCAAAATGAACGGTTTAGGTAATTTGTTATAATATACACTATTTTTAGAATTTGAAATCCTATTTTGTTTTCACAACTATAATGTTCAAGTCTAGATGATCGATGAAAAGGTCATCAATGTAAAGATTTTCCAATGCTTGACTTACAAGTTTTGATAAGTTATGAGGTGAGGATTTACTTTCCTTTAAAAAATGGCCAAGCAAGGATGGGCGGTGCCAGATGCTTTGTGCAACAATAAATGTGGTATTTTCCATCCTTTTTCCAAGTCTTCTATGATTTTATTGTTAGCTTTTGGGTAGTGGTGACGGTTGTTGCATGGTGGAAAACTTAATAGACTGTCGATGGAACGTACGACCGATAGCTTGAATGCACGACCGGTAGTTTACACTCACAGTCGATAGCTTGTCATGACCGATAGCTTGAACTCACAACCAATAGGTTGAACTCACATCGATAGCTTGAACCCATGGTCGATAGCTTGAACTCACAATCGACAGCTTGAACTCATGGTCGATAGCTTGAACCCAAGATTGATATCTTGAACTTATGGTCGATAGCTTGAATCCACGACCGATAGCTTGCACTCATGGTCAATAGCTTGAACTCACGACCGATAGTTCTAACTACCATCTCATAAGCAGAACTTATGCTCGATAAGCCTTGCACTAACTCTCATCTTGGGAAAAATTCGATAACATCTCTTCTAGACCGAGATAAAGATTGGATTGTATCAGAATGCTACTAGTACCAGTTGGACTCCCGTAGGAGTCGGAATCTAGATTCGGAGGTTATATATGGAAAAAAGAAACACTCCTAGTGCTAGTCGGACTCCCGTCAAAGTCAGAATATGGATTTTGAGGTTATACAATGGGGCAACAAAGATCGGGATCTGGAGGCACGAGAGGAGCTCCCTTTCTTCGAAGTATTGATCACCATCTACCCGATACAAAATCGAGACGCAATAGGGTATCTGGTGAGCACACCCCCTGGATACAGCCAGATCATAAATAATCAGAGTTTCCGAGTTGTATGCTAAAAAAACTCTCTAAAACCACAACAACTAAACTGATCTTACTTGAATGAAAAAGAAACATCAAGAAGAAATTCTATGAGTTTTCATTTTTTCTTGGAAAATACCTCAAATCCTTATACAAAATATTGATGAAAATCTCCTTTAACTTCACTCCCTTCACTCTCATGTCTGTGCATCTTGATGCCAAGATGATCAATTTGAAGATATTTGGGCATCAAAACAACCTCTTCTAGTGAAATTTTCAAGGTAGGCTCAAATTTGATTGTTTAGAGCCTCGACTCTACATAAACTTTTCCCTTTTCTAAAAAGCTTGCGCATTAAAGGCCCTACGCTCTACCTGGTTGTCATGAGCACTCTAGGGAATAGTCAATTCCTATAGGAAGCGGCCTTCACTTCCACACTCATATAGGTGAGTTCGTGGAAGATGTTTTGCAGTGCAATATCCCAACCTAGTCCTTTCATCATCTAGGCAAATGGAATCATTAAGATGAAAGCTTAACCTCTCGATTCATTGTAGTAAATGTACCACAAATCCAGGGATATGGTAGAAATTTACAAATTTCAATAATATAAAAATTTGAAAAAATATCCCTTTACCCCTTATTTTTAACTTCTATATCTTATCATACCCAATAATTGAAAATATTACTTGGAAGCAAGAAGTGACCATTTTTTCTATCTTACAACCCCCTGAATCCTTTTGACTACAATTTTTTGACCTAAAGAATTGAAAAAATGACAAATTGGAGAGGAACCACCACAATGAATTTAGACGAACGTAACATCTTGACTATGAAGAAGTTGCAAACTAAACCATCGCCATGTTCATGGGAAACAGAGAGAAAGCATCCCCAATCATGAAGAAGAAAGGCTTTGGCTCCCTATGTCATGCCCTTGCCCCAACTTTCTCGCCCCCCTCCCCTCCCCCACTCCACCCCACCCCACCCATCCTCTCTCTGTCTCTCTCTAGATCCACTAGCCAATTCTCTGGTTCTCTTTCTCACACACCCTCGCCCTAACTTTTTCCCCTCAATCCTGCCCTCTCTCTCTCTCTCTCGCCCTAAATTAGGTGTTTTATTTGCTCGAAAATTTTTCT